CTCAACTTATCATTTTCTTCCCCGCCACCGTACCAACACCAACCCCACGCGGAAAACCAGTTTCTGTAGTCTGTCCTTTGAGTCCTCCAGTGATTGCTTTCTACTGTAGCTCCACCTAAAAAACCCCAATTTGAAGAGGATTTTCAATAATTAATTCATGGATAAATAGAAAAAATAGATAGAATTTGAAATTTTACCAATCAGGGCCATGGGGAAATATTCAAAAAACATGCAGTAGTGTTTGAGTGTTGAGTGTGGAAATTAACAACATCAAATTGAACATACCTAAAGCAAAAAATGCAAGCGAGTAGAGGCCTTCCTTCCTCCAAACACCTTTCTTCATTCCATTATTATCAAAATAAGTGCAGGCACACTGGAGTTTCCTGAAAATTAGCATTTTCTTCCCTCAGTCCAGTGCAGGCCAGTGCCTGCACTGGCCTCTATGTAACTCCGCCCCTGATTGTCAAGCAATATAAGCAATAGTTATATGCTCGTAGTGTAACTAGAATTACATTTTAGAGTTGCCTAAATTTGGAAATTTGCTCAACATGGACTTTTTAAGAGTATAGTTGAATATGGGCGTCTATGTAAGTTAGATTTTTCGGACTAATTCTAAAGTTTTTGTTTTTTTGCTAACTTGGCGAAGCACATTTTTTTTTTTTCAAATTGAAAAACAACTGACTTTAAGTTTTAAAGAAAAAAAAATTGGTAAGTAATTTAATTATTTATATAATCCATTAATTAATTTTCTATGGAATGGAATTTTCTCCACATTCCCTTAATCCCCCCCACCCCTCACATCCACTGCAACCCTATCATTCAATTGCTGCCATAAACCACGACCACCAACTGTTGATTAATTCAGTCGCCATTGCCACTTTACTTGAAGCCTCATATATATACTTTGGCTTTAAGCCTCCCATGCGTCCAGCTTCATTAGCCGACACCTGAAACCAATCGCCACCCACACCATTTTCTTCAGTTCACGCACATCTAGAAAATCTCCATTTAGTATGATTTAAGAATCCACGAAATGGTGTTTCTTTCTTCAAAATTTTGCCCAGTTCGGTAAATTTTGAAGACGTTGACTTGTTAATGAAAAATTAAAAAAGCGTGACTTTTAACAAAAAAGTCCCAAAGAGGAGAAATCAGGAAATCAATGTTTTTCTCTTGGAATTTCGGTTTTTATTTTTTTTATTTTCGGTTGTGCTGTATGTACATCACAACTTACAGATTGGTATACATGCACCTGATGTAGTGAGATATAATTGGATCAAATTTCTTTAACCAAATAAAAAAATTCCCTATTTTCTTTTTGACATCTCATGTATCCGTAAAACTTTCTATAACTTCTTATATACAAATAGAATTATATATTTATTTATTTTTTTTTGTAAAAATTGTAGATGCCATGGTTTGGTTGAAAAAGTAAAGAAGTGCAATTTTTAACCAAAAAGTCACAAATAGACTACTTTCTCAAATGAAAGTGTAGGAAAATATATGCTTTTAATGATAAAGGAAAAATGATAAAACATTTTACGTGGATAGTATTTTTTTCTACTATTTTCCAATCCATATTTTTTAGGCATAAAAAACTAAATTCCCCCAAAACAATTATGGCCCATATTTTGTACTAGGGTATAGCGCACTGTTTGTTAATTCATTAACTTTTATTCGTTAATATTAAATTTGAGTTTCATCTTGACTCAGATCAGTCATATTTAATTGAGATCAATGACAACTCGAAGGTAGAGTTATTGGATATCATCGTCTAGATTAACACATGCATCAGCATGTTGATTCATCAAATAATTGTCACTTAAATTCACCAATTGGATCACATGAAAGTGGTATATGGCTGGTAGGATCCAAAGGGGTGGTGTCAGAACTCGAAGTTTCCCGTTGCATCACCAACCATGCTATTTTCTATAGAAGGAGAAGACAAATTTGTAGCCAGTTTATATCAACGTCTTGATTAACATGTGTATCAACATGTTGATGCATCATATAGTTTCGCCCTAAAGGAACCGATTAGATCTCATGAAAGTGATAGGTGAATCTGACACATAAAAAAACTTTTCACTCGCTATGCTTATATGCTTATTCATAAAATAACCTTTTGAATTAGTATAACAGCTTGTATACTTATCATGCATCTTCTTAATTCGATCACCATATGAAACTTACCAAGTGTCATATTTAAGTAGTGCTTGTAGTGTAACCAAAATCTCGATGACCATTAGTACATTTCATATCCATCATCGGACCAAACTAACAAAGCGCAAAGTACAATTAGTGTTCTCATTAATTAGATGCAATCTCATACTTAGGGTGTGTTTGATCCACATTATTTTGGAAGAATGTATTCTGTAATAGTAGATTGATGGAGAATTTATGGTTGAAAAAGAAGGAAAAGTTATTGATGTGATGGAAAATATTATTTATTGATGAATGTGTGGTTGAAAATGAGTAGAAGAATGAAAATGAAAATTTTAATGTGGCTTAAACAGAGGCTTAGGTTAAGTATTTATGGTTGAAAAAGAAGGAAAAGGTATTGATGTGATGGAAAATATTATTTTATTGAAGAATGTGTGGTTGAAAATGAGTAGAAGAATGAGAATGAAAATTTTAATGTATACCAAACAGGAGCTTAAAAATACATTTATTTACTCGTTGAATTTATTACTAAATTACCCTTCTCAATTATTATCAGAGCTCGATCAAATGTACATAATTAGTGTCTGTACGATAACTAATTTCTCACTCGACGATAGTATTAGTCTAACAATTACAAATACATTAACTTATCAATGGTAATCTGTCTCTCAACTTAATCATTGTAACAAACTAACAAAATAAAAGAACATCAGTATGCCAACTACTTATAAAGGAGATGGAAAAATAAACTGAAGAGCTCAGTGCTCCGACTACACTGCTGTTTTCATCTGGTTGATGAAACCCTGTGGAGGATTTAGGTTTTCCATCCAGATGTGTGAGGCGTAATAACATTTTCTATTCAAAACGGGGACCATCAGCATGCAGGTGCGATAAGCCTAGAAATATTAGCGTACTAGTTCTCATGTTGTAATCGCCCCAGCTCTTCACATGTTTGGTATCATAAAAAAAAAGATAATACACTATGATCAAAGAAGGGAAAAAAAAAAAAAGATAATACACTATGATCAAAGAAGGAAAAAAAACTTCAAGTTTCCTTGACTGCATCGTTTAGTATAATTTATATTATGTACCAATTGTAATGACAGTTAACTACATTGTTTTGCTTTTTTTCTCATTCATATCATAATACTTCTCACTCTTTATTTTCCTATCTCCATCCTAATGAGAGCCTCTTCTCTCTATGCATACACTAATGGCAACATAACATTATTCCAAATATTTAAGAAGTTGGATCCCGTGGCCAAACCATTTGAATAATGTTAACTATCACCATTATTGATTAACACCCTTCTAAGGGATAATGATCCCACTACCACGTTGACTTTAGTTAATTGCTCATCCAATTTTGACTATCAACCAACACTACTAACTACAGTAAAACATTAATTCCAATCCCTTTGAGAGGTGTGCGTCCGGTCCATTTAATAGGTAGAAATTCTATTAGCCTTCCCACTCCCTGGATATTTCTAGCTGAGGAAGTGGTGTTGAGCTGCACCGTATTAGCTATCGACAGCGACGATTAATTTCCTTTTGGATCAACAACCAGCCCATTTGACAGACCCTCGCCTAACCCAGTTGAGAGGGGGATTTTCTCACTCACCCAGTGGTTTACATTCAGAATTAGCGCACTCCATTAAATAATTCAATACAATACTATACATATTGAAGAATGATAAATGGAATTATTCAATACGAGGATTGGATAAACTCAAAATAATAAAAATCTTCGATCAACCAAAAATGTTATTTGCTTTTTAATGATATGTTGAAATAAAATTGGTCAAAGGTCACTTATAAAATTGGCTTGTAAAGAGGATAGTCAAGTGGTTTTAAACTCATAAATTAAGTCTAGTGTACCAGTTCTCATGTTGTAACAGCCACACCTCTTCAACATATTTGGTAACATGAACAAGATAATACATAGTAAGAGTAAAAGGAAAAAAATTGAAGTTTCCTAAGCTGTATCGCCCAATACAATTAATAATATATACCAAAATTAATGACCGTTGACTGCATTTTTTTTTCTAATTCATTTCATATATAGCCTCTTCTCAGATTTCATTTCCTAGACTGTATTGCCCAATAAAATTTAATTCACTCTCTATTCCTATCTCCATAAGAGTGAAAGCCTCTTCTCTCTATAGTCTATAGGCACACACTCTTTCTTCTGCTATCTGTTTTGGCATAAAAGAATCCAAAGGTACGTTTCATAATCATTTTCTAAATGGTGTTTTCTTTCTCTACATTTCAAATACTTTCACACAAGCACCTGGAAATATACATATAAGAACGCACACACATTAAAAACATTTTTTTTTCTCTATTTTCTTGTATTTCTACAGAAACAAGAGGATGCTTCGATGTGAAATCCTCTCCTTTTAAAGTTCTAATATGTGTTTATGTAAAAAAATACATTATCAGGATTGACTTGAACTTTCTGAGAGAAAATGAAGTCTTTTAAATGTTCTTTTGTGCAATTTGGAAGCCTGAAAAAAATGCATTGAAGAAATTGTTGTTGTAGAAGATCACTTTTCCTTCTTCTTCTTCTTCTCTCACAAACCTTTGGTTCTTTTGTGGAAATTGCATTTAAATGTTCTTTTGTTTGGTTCTTGATCTGTTTTTCCTTTTTATTTGTCTGTCATTAAGATTCTATTTCTTCGTGATGCACAATATACCTTGTGTTTTTATTTTGAGGAGGGCACTTTCATTTATTGTCGGATTTGAGATTTTTCTGGGGACCACTGAGTATGCCCAGACATGCAATGACTTCAATTTTACATAATTTTTCATAAACCTCATTTTCTTTCCCAGAATTGTGAAACATGGGTCGTTCTGCTCATTGCAACAAAAAAGCCATTGATGCATCCGTGGGTAGGTTGGTTTGGGTCCGAAGGCAAAATGGGTCGTGGTGGCCAGGTCGAATTCTCAGCCCAGACGAATTGCCCGAGACCATATTGCCTGTGCCAAGAGCAGGGACACCTATACAGCTCCTTGGGAGAGAAGACACGAGTTTGTAAGCGCCTCTTTAGTCCCTTTATTTCATCAAGAAATGTTGATAATAAAGTTCTTTTCGGGTTTATAATTGAACCATTCTTTACAGTCAAAGTATAGCAATGAGATAATAGTTTCATTTAATTTGATATCACCCAAAATGGATCTTTCAGTTTTTAATTCATTTCTAAAAAGTAATTTTGATTACCTTTTTTGATAAATGATTATATAGAACAAGAGTTTTACTCCATCATATTCTCTTCATGTAATCTATCATCACTCCATAAATGGCAATAATTAATTAACCTTTTTATTTCTCTATCAAGAGTGGCGACGAATGCTTGCAAGTTATCGTTTTCGGATTTTACTCATCATAAAAAGAATAAGAATGTGAAATGGACTTAAATGCTTGCAATTTAGGTTTTTCAGCTGTTTCCTTCGAATTATTGGCAGCATTTCTGTAATGTTTTTGTCATATTTGGCGACCATTGTTTCTGTCATATCGTTGGCAATAATTTTTGTTATGTTTTGTCGTATTCGGAAATCATTGTTTCCCTCGTATCATTGGAATGTTTATGGTGTAGAAGGCGGATTCACATTTAAGTATGATCGTTATTTCTGTTAAATTCTTTTACATTAATTGTGAGAAAAAATATCATGTGGACACTAGTTTTAAATATTCGACACTGGCTTCAAGATAATTTTATTTGTCATGAGTTTGTCACAACCAAGTAACAAATTTTGTTATCCTGAGAACATGAATCAGTTTTTAGAGCATGTTTGGCTATGGTTTAATGTAAGTACTTAGTTTTAGGTAAATTCTTGTTTATTTAAAACCTGTAGAGTCTTTCACTCAACCATTCGTAGGACAAGTTGATATGCAATATTGAGAACTATCCATAAAAAGTCTGTTCCTGTGCAACAATAATTAATAGGTTTTGTTCATTTTGCATGATGTGTTTAGTAATAATTACATAGTCTTTTTTTTTTTTGGTCAACGTTTATCTTTCTTAAAAGATCCTTGAGTTCAATCTGTATGCGAGATAATTTATTTTGTATTCTTGCCAAATTTCTTATAGGGACTGGTATAATCTCGAGACATCAAAAAGAGTTAAATCTTTTCGTTGCGGGGAGCACGATTCATGTATTCAGAAAGCTAAGGCGTCCACATCCAATTCATCGAAGAAGACTGCGGGGAGATATGCTCGCAGAGACAATGCCATTATTCATGCACTTGAGATTGAAAGTGCTTGTGAAGCTTTTGACAAGGATTCCAGTAGTTCGGAAGATTATTCAGATTCAGCAGAGAAACCGTTGGCATCCGATGTAGCAATTGAGGAACTGCATCATTTAGGTCCATCTTCAGGTATGATTTGGTTGCCTTTATACTATTCAATCAGCAGTAAGGTATACACATTCATAACCTTTTGGCATTATTGAACTTGGAATTGTTTTTCATATTGCTTATGTCTTAACCGCACATTGTTTCACCTAAGATATGATGCTAATATTTGTATTAATGCCATTATCCTTTATACACATGATATAATATTTGGAAAAAAAAAATAATAATCTTTTTCTGATAATCTCAAAAGGCGTGGTAGACATGGTCGAGCATGTTTGGCTAAACTTAAACATAACTTTTATTTATATTTTGGCTTTAATTCAAACACGCTGATGGTTATATTTCTGTTTGGAGGCGACTATTTTCAATCTACTCATCTATTTATTTTTCCTTTCCCGATTTTCAACTGTTTTATTTTCTTTTTAGTTAAACCTTGTACCATTTGCATGCCCATATTTCCACGTGCACTGGTTTGCTTATGCATCTAATTTTATCTTCAGAGACTCAAGCATGTTTGGCTAAGCCAAAAAAAGGTTAAAGGTACTTTCTCATAAAGTATGTAAATACTATTGTAAAGTAAGTTCTCGATCTAAAAAGCCTTCCCGTAAAGTGACTTCTAAACAAGCTAAAAAATGTTTTGCTAAAAAAGTTATTTAAAAATGCCATTTAAGCTTAGACATATGTTGGGCACATTTAAAAATTATTTTTAAGTACTTTTACATTTATAGACTTGGTTTATGTCCATGGTTTTTGCGTGCAATTAGTGTGAGATACTTTTATAAATCCTGGCACTGATGCGCTGTTTTGATTAGTCACTTTTGAGTGGAAGCTAAAGAGAAGAAGGAAGTCTGTCTTGGTTTTTGTCCTTGGTGTTTGCGTGCAATGAGTGTGAGAGACTTTTTTATATCCTGGCACTGATGCGCTGTTTTGTTTAGTCACTTTTGAGTGGAAGCTATAGAGAAGAAGGAAGTCAAGGTCGAGAAAACCAGATGGCTATGTGTACAAGTCAGATACCATTCTGGACAGCCTTTTTGGAAAGTCGGGACCAATTACGGATGTTAAGGTTGAAAAGTCATCTGTTCATCTGATGAAACCTCATGAGACACGAGGAAAAGCTGATGAAGTGGCAGTTCCCCAGAGGTTAATGCCCCATCGCCAGTCACGTTCTATTGTCAATCCGAAGTATGACCTGTCAAATTTTTATCTTGGAGACTGTATAGATGACTGTGGCTTGTATGATGTAACTCTCAAGCCGAACATGAGCTACCAAGCACAACATGTTCCAAATATTTCTCTAACGAGCAAGTTAACCTATAAATCAATCGTTGGCCACCCACTTAACGTTGATGTTTCAGAAGCTGGTATGGTTATTGAAAAGAGGCCACGTGGAAGGCCACGCACCAAGAATGTCATGCCACAGCAGCTGGTCCCACCAGTAAAATCACGAAAATCGAAAAAGCACAGGGGTTTGTCGAGAAAGACCAGGAAATTTGCTTCACTTACGGGTTTGCCAGAGCCAGAGGAGATCCCTGTGATCAACATGCTCGCCAACCCAGTTGTAGCTTGCATCCCGCTGAGGGTGGTGTTCAGCCAACTGAATGCAGCATTGAATAGCTCTATCTGAGCAACCTATGTTGTTTTCATCATGAGTTTTTATTTAATTAGGCTGTCAAATTTAGGTGTTCTTTTTAGAGAACTATGTTCCCTAGTTGCATAGTATATAGTGTTCTCGAGGTACTCCCTGATATAGATTTAATCTTTATAATCAAGGGCATAATGAAGTGTTACTATTAATTTGCTGATAACTTCAGGTTTGACAGAATTTAATAATTTCTATCTGTTTCAAAATCATGTGAGTCTGAGTTTATAATTATCTCCATTTATCATAGCTAGTTCGTTAACGTACCTCTTTTATTAAACAGACATCCTTCTTAAAGTATGAGGGAGTTTTTGTTTAGAGAAACTTTGAGTTCAATTAGTACAACTAGACATTGGAAAAAACATTTGATGTCCAAACAGAGTATAAAATGTATCCCATTCATAAAGACTCCATTTGTACGCATATCATCTAAATTGTATTCATAATGAGTTCAATCAGAACTTGCATTCAAACTTTCTTTTTCATCTTCAATGATATTCAACAGTAAGTTTCGTTACACAGATTTTGCTCTAATGTACAACTCAATTTATTTGCTTCTAACTACAAGCATGTTTTGTTACACAGATTGTAATTCTTACTAAAAAAAATTGTATGTAATTTACAAGAGTAATTATTAATTTTTTTATACCACATTTTAAAAATTGAAAATATAATGTATATATTGGAGGAATAGAAATGAATACAATCAAGGAAGAATCACATCTCAAACGGGTAATATAAATCTATAAAAAAATAATGGAAGTCAAGCCTAATTCCTTCTTGGTATTACTAGTGTTGTATGACACACGGGTGCGAAAAAGGGAAAGTGAGGGATGGGTATCTCTCGCTTTTGGCATAGTGAGGCCCCAGTGGGAGGTTCGACATACAACCATGGCAAGAACGACGTTTCGTAGAATATATGACTCATGATGCACGTGATTTTGTAACATCATTGTTAATTACTTTTAATTTAATATTTAAAATTATTATGTGATTAAAATGATATTACCAAATGGAAATTTAAAGTGCATTCTTGAAATCCAATATATATAATATATTATGAAGAAATAATATTCAATAGTATGTTAGAAATTAATTATATAACCTCCACATTAATGTTATTGATAGTTTTACTTAACGAGAAGTTTGGAGTGTGGATTTAAATATATCCATGGAGTGGAGTACCTACTTGAATTTTAAAAAAATAAAACAAATTTTTTTATTTTATTTTATAAGAATCTTAAGACAATAGTGCAATGAAAACATAAATGTGAACATAGTTTTCAGAAGTTGAAGCAACGATTATTTACATGCTTACAACTCTAATATTAAGAGTACCCGAAGATTTGAAGGGGAGTGATGGGTCCAAGCAGGGTTAGGTATGTATGCTGGTGCAACATGGAAAGGTGATTGTCAATGTTTTGAGACATTTGAAGCACTACGAGTAAAACAACCCAATGCATGATCTGTAACTTGGGATGGTTGTTCATGGATAAAAATATGACTTCACTACTTTTACGGCTAAAGGTGAGACATATACACCGACTAAGGAAGTCTCAAATTCTACTTTTTCCAGAAGCAGTTAAATATGAGACAGAAAATGTGGTTCGTATTCGCATCTACCACTAGTAGAGATCGCCTATAATAACAACTTCCAAGCTCCTATAAGAATGGCACTGCATGAGGCTCCCTATGGCAAAAAATGGAGATACAGTCCATTGGGATGAAGTCGCAGAAAAGAGAATTTTTGATCTAAAAATTGTTGAAAAGACAGTCGAGGCCATTGACAAGATTAGGCCCATAATAGAAGCAGCACAAAACAGACATAAAAGACAGTTGAGGCCATCTTGAAATTGTTGAAAAGACAGTCGAGGCCATTCACTGTTTGTCCCCAACTAGTTGCATCTCTAGGAACTCGATACTCCAATTATTGTTTTGCAGTAGCGTCCACAGCCATTTAAAATCGGGGCACAACCAGTCCTCAGGGACGTATCCTTCCAGAAATCTGCTATTATGACAATTTCTTTACAAAAGAGAACTCTATTCTTAATTTCTATAATACATTAAAAAAAGGAAAAAAAACTGGAAGAAACCAGAAAAACAAAAAGAAAGAAACATGAAAAAAATTTACACCACCTCTCTCCACACCCAAAACCCTTTGTAGTGGCGGTGCCTAACCACTGCCAAAATCACTTACCTTTTAGTATAGAAACAGAATACTGAGACAAAATGACCCCACTGCTAGACACAAGAAATTTTTGAAAAAAAAAAAAAAGTGTTGATTCATATTTTAACAAAGGCAATCTCAATGCTTCAATTTGCCAATATAGAATTTAGTGATACATTTGATAAATAATTTCAGGAACTCAATCGATTACAACCAGTGGTCCTTCTGCCTTTGATACCCCCTTTCAGCTGGTTTGCCCTTCCATCATAACAAACCAGAAAAACAAAAAGAACGAAACATGAAAAAACTATACACCACCGCTCTCCACACCCAAAACCCATTGTAGTGGTGGTGCCTAACCACTGCCAAAATCACATACCTTTTAGCATAGAAGCAGAATACTGAGACAAAATGACCCCACTGCCAGACACACAAGAAATTTTTGAAAAAAAAAAAAGTTGATTCATATTTTAGCAAATTAAGGCAATCTCAACTCTTCGATTTGCCAAAATAGAATTTAGCGATACATTTGCTAAATAATTTCAGGAACTCAATCGATTACAACCAGTGGCATTCCATGAACATTGAATTATTTGCTTTGTCTATTTAATTATTTTGTTAAGTTTTTAATTATTTTTTTCCTGTCGTTGTAAGGTTGTTTAGGGATCGGAGAATTCAACAAAGCGAACTTAAGAAAATTAAAATATTTACTTATTTTTGTGTGCATTCCTGTGCTTCTTTCATTTTTCATTTTTAGATTTTGTTAATTTCATTTGACGAGTAATCCCCTCTCAGCACAGAAAATTATCCTATGGTTAATAAATTGAAGACCAAGTTGCTACATATTCTATAAATAGGGGACCAACAGTGCAATTTTTCAATAGATAAAAGTTAAATTTGATAAGATATTATGATTCACTTTTCAGCCTTTCATTATATATACTCATAAATTAGGTCAATGATAAAAGTTAAATTCCATAAACTATTATGATTCACTTTTCTGCCTTTAATTTTATAAACTCATAAATTAAGTCTTGACTTAGTGCAGCGGAACGTAAAGCATCATTACAATCCACTCTTTTCAAAATCGACTCCTAATTGACTTAACTAGCCCAACTAGTCTTTTACAGGGAAGTAACACTTTCTTGGTCATATGAGATCCTCTAAGTGTCAAATATAATTATGCGCATACGGTAATTGACTTCTCAACTATATGATCGTATTAATCGAAGTATCATATACCATTAGTATATTTACGTATATTGACATCTATGACCAATCAGTCGACCAAACGTTAGTATCCTCGTTAATCACATGCAATCTGATAAATTAAAATTCATTAATTTCCAGTGTGTTTATTTCTTATTTCTCTTCTAATTAGTATGAAAGCTTGTGCAGTAACTCACTTCTTAACTGGATCACTGTAAGAGACTTAGCAAGTATGAAATATATTTAGTGTACGAGCGCTAACTGGTTTCTCAGCTCGATGACTGTACTTGTCTAAGTTTTAAATACAATAACTTCTCAACGATGACAAACCTCTTAGCTTATTCACCAATTCAATTGCTGTCGTAAGTCACCACCACCACCAACCATGGATTAATTTAATCTCCATTGCCACTTTACTTGAAGTCTTGGATATATATTTTTGCCTTGAGATTCTCACCCTGGTTGCCTCTGCATTTTTCAAGCGCCGTCGGTCCAGCTTCATTAGCCGACATCTAAATGCCATCTCCACCCCCACCATTTTGTTCAGTTCACACACATCTAGAAAGTGTCTAATTAGGAGAGATTTAAGGAATCCACAAATTGGTGTTTCTTTCTTCGAATTTTTGTACTGTTTGCCAAATTTTGAAGACATGGATTTGTCAATGAAAAAGTAAACTCTTAACTGGATCACTGTAAGAGACTAAGCAAGTATGAAATATATTTAGTGTACGAGCGCTAACTGGTTTCTCAGCTCGATGCCTGTACTTGTCTCAGTTTTAAATACAATAACTTCTCAACGATGACAAACCTCTTAGCTTATTCACCAATTCAATTGCTGTCGTAAGCCACCACCACCAACCATGGATTAATGTAATCTCCATTGCCACTTTACTTGAAGTCTTGGATATATATTTTTGCCTTGAGATTCTCACCCTGGTTGGCTCTGCATTTTTCAAGCGCCATCGGTCCAGCTTCATTAGCCGACACCTAAATGCCATCTCTACCCCCACCATTTTGTTCAGTTCACACACATCTAGAAAGTGTCTAATTAGGAGAGATTTAAGGAATCCACAAATTGGTGTTTCTTTCTTCGAATTTTTGTACTGTTTGCCAAATTTTGAAGACGTGGATTTGTCAATGAAAAAGTAAACAAGTGAGACTTTTTAATAAAAATGTCACGAAGAGAAGAAATCTTGAAATCAATGTTTTTTTCATGGAATTTTGGTTTTCTTTTTTGTTGTTTTAAACCTTGTAGATGACACATTTCGTATTGAAAAAGTAGGGAAGTGCAATATTTAACCAAAAAGTCACAAATAGAAGAAATCCAGAAATTGGTGTTTCTTCCATGGTTTTTTTTTTTTTTTTGAATTTGGAAAATGCCACAATTAGTATCCCAACTACTTACAAAGGAGATGGAAAAAAAAAAAACTGAAGTGAAATTTTTTACCTGGATTGTACTTTTTCAAATAATAATTTTTTCTAGTATTCTCCTATTTTTTTAGGCATAAAAAATAAATTCCCCAAAAACAATTATAGCCCAAATTTTGCGCTAGGGTATAGCCAACTGTTTGTGATTAATATACAACTCAAAAGTCAAGTTATTGGATAT